TAAAATATAGATAGCTAGTTGAAATCAAAGTAGTTTACACATGAACGATTACGGTACGAAGACTGAACATCTAACAAGTTCTTTGGATTGCAAACTATGTAGACTGTTGAGTTCTTTCCTAGGCCTGGAACCTTGTCTAAACAGTTAACGAAAAATATAATAACTCGGTGACAGAAAGAGAGTGAGCGTAAGGGGTTTATAATCATTGGTTTTATGATTGCTGATTAATTCGGCGTTAGAAATGTTAAATTACTGAGACTTTGAAACTCAGGCAATAAGAGCTACGCATATGAATTGCAAATTGAATTCTAAGTGAGTACCGTACGCCAGGACAAACAAAACCAAGAACAATGGTGAATGTCGAGAACGTGATAAAATGTCATTGCTTTGATTATGAGTACTTTATGCATGAACAATCATATTATGAGAATAACACTTTGTTAATGATATTTTGGAGTTACTTTGCATACTGAAAGTGCACGAATTTCATAAGGCCCCTTGTATCGATTTTTTTCCACAGATACTGCTTTTGTTACAATACCACCGTAGCTTCAAAACCTTTAGGCGCATATTACATATCGATCGAGCTTTGCCAAGCTTAAGTTATTGACAAAGAGTGAACTATCATTGTAGTAAGAGTCGTTTGCACATGAACGACCCTAGCACGTTAAACTAAATTCTTGAGCGCGGGTGCACAATCTGAAAAGAAATGTTTCAGTTTTCTCACAAATTGAAGCAGATTTCTACACATATTTGGGTAAAAATATGTTATAAAACAAATAAAAACCCCAAGATCTGCTTTCTTCTGTTAGAGAGCACACGTGGAAGTGACAAAAACAGTTATAAAGTTATGAGAAACAATTGTCGGCTTCTCGTGCTCTCGTGACTTCCTTCTGTCGGGTTACAGGGTGCGTTTTATTAGCTTTCGCACTGCACTATTTCATATGATCATTTTGAAACCCCTCCTAGCTTTTTCCTAGAAGTTCTGATTGTGCTGTAGTTCACTCTTCGCGTTGGTCCCTCAGTGTTTAACAAAGACTTACGTCTATGAGCTGGTTAAAATTACTTCTGTGCGCACATAAAAAGAAGAGCTACGGCCCCTTTCACAGTTCCTTCTTGCGAAATAACGACACATACGCGAACAAAGTGTTGTTCTTTCCTTTTAATGGTTATTTCACTTCGGTGGACACTGATGCAATAAAATGGGTAAAACGACACTGAAATATTTCGGCCAAAAGAGGGGTGATTCAGTGTGCACGGATGGCCTTACCACTATCCTAATAATGGTATGATCTGTTGTTGTATGGTGAAGGCTACGTAACAAGCATTTTTGTTTCGCTAAATTTCCTGACTACAATTTACTTTGTTTGACTCCGGCTTTTTTGAAGTCTGGTAGCACGCCTAGGCAGTGTATG